CCCCAAAACCCCAAAACCCCAAAACCCCAAAACCCCAAAACCCCAAAACCCCTGTTTTTGTATACAGAACTGAATATTTAAATTTAAAATAATAAGAAAAAATGATGAACGAAATCAGTGAAAGTATGAAGAAAGGAAGGAGCAATAACGAAAAATTAATGACAATGCGAGCACTTATCGTCAAAAATCTAGAGTTAATCAAGGACAAAGGAGCTAAGAGTAAGTGCAACCTTATTCTATCCTCATTATTCTCTTTACTAGTCTTAGGATCAGCATATTTCCTTCATGAATTCGATTAAAACATCGATTTTTAGTCTCAAAAGATCAAAAAGAGAAACAGGAAAAATAGGATTCAAGAAATCTCTGATAGATACGAGGAAGCCAAACAAATTGCAAATAAAACATTCGAAATAGTAGAAGGCCAACTCCAAAAATTAGAGGGATATGTTGATGAAGGTATCTCCTCTAATCATCATAAATCTATAGACATAGCAGAGAAAGAGCATATCGACCAAGAATACACTAAACAACTCAGTGAAGCAGTAGAGATAGTCAATCTCCGATTTGAACAAGAGTCTCAATCAAGAGCAGCTTTTGAAAAGAAATTTAAAACTATCGTGAACCAGAAATTCGAGCTTCTAAAGAGCGATCTCCTTAAAGAGTCCCAAGCAAGGAACGCCTCCCTCATGAACTTAGAGCAATCAATCGAATCTGACTTCTCCAAGATAGAATCTGAGATAAAAGAAACCGCCGAAAACGCAGAACAGACCGACCAAGAGCTAAATAAAATCTTCGACGACCTCATCGACCGGGTCACTGAAGAGAACGAGCATCTCAAGAACGAAAAGGAATCTACAGAGCAAAGAATTCTCGAGCAGTTAAAAACCGTCAATAAGGTTCGTGATGACCTGCAAGAAGTCACTTAGACTTCTTGTGCTGGAGGAAAGGGTATTTGTACTAAGAGATTTTGGTTTCAATAGGATTTTGTGGAGTGGGGTTTTGGGGTTTTGGGGTTTTGGGGTTTTGGGG